TTTTATCCTTTTCTGATAACTATAGCTCTTATGTTTAAATTCATGCTAAAAACTATAAAAAAATATTAGAAGAATGTGCATTTATAATCAGCCACACATGTGATGCCCAACTCTTTCCATAGCTGTTTTAAGCAGTATTTTTGCAGCTGTTGGGGTAATGACATTTTGATTCAAAGTTGAAACGTCACAATAAATAGGATGAAAAATTCAAACTTCTCTGCTGATGCAATATACCAATCATACAAACCAAAGTAGTTTACATGAAGACATAAAAATACAAAACATACAAATAAAATTTTCAAAAGAGCAAAAGCTGAAATTGCCCTTTTCCATACAACAACCCATTAGCATGTATAATTTTATCTCAGAACACGTAATTTTCTGAATAAAATTGATATTTTATACTTATCCTGACTCATGCTTATTGCTTGTCTCCTTCCTCTTGTGAACGTTAGTGGAACACTTGTATCTCCTATTGAAGCTCCCTTCAATAAAAACAGACGTAAAATCACCACTCACCATGAGTTATCTGTCTGGCCGTTTTGGCGGGAAAAGTGGCGGCACCGCTCCCAAATGCTTCACTCTCTCCGAATTATGAGCCCGACACTTAAATTTGCAGGGAATAAGTCAGGATAAGTATAAAATATCAATTTTATTCAGAAAATTACATATTTTTCCTTATCCTGACTCATGCTTATTGCTTGTAGAATCCGGCGGATTTGGTGGTGGGTCAAGCTACTTCTGGTTTCATGTAGGGATTTACGTCTTGCATACACCCCTTTGGGAACTTCCTGGTAGCACTTCTTTTACTGCTAGGCTCTGCTGCTGCTGTAACCCTTCACTTCCAGCTGTCTCTGATGGGGGGACCACAATTGTTAACTTTTGGTCCTGGCTTCTGTTAACATTTATGTGGATTTTGAAAGTCCATCTCTGATGCGAGCATCAAGTGGAGAAGCGACTCTTTCCTGTACGAGTATGTCCTTACAAGTACTGGGTCATATCACTTATGCTAGTCTGTCCTAGACGTGCATATAGACTCTAAAATTGAACTCTCCTGAGTGTAGGCTTTTGCAAGTCATGTGATAAAAGGGCGAGACTCCGTCTCAGCGCCTTTGTGGGACTGTCAATTGTTGTGCTACAACAAGTGGGCCGAAATGGTGAATGCCAGAGCCGTCCTCTGTGGCGATGTCCCTCAGGTAGTGGTTGGCAAACACCATGTCCCATTTCCAGAAGCAGCCCTCCATTATCGTCCTGATAGAGCAATTCCCATGTAGAGAGAGTGTTGACGCCAGAGCTCTAACTTCATGTGGGTTGGAGGCTCCCATCTCTTGTATGATCTGCTTGAAGATCTCTGGATGTAGCATCCATTCTGTTGAGGATGGCTGCGTTGGACGGGATAGTGCATCTACTGTCACATTCTTGGCTCCTGGAATGTGGCATGCTCTTATGTGGATGTTCAGGTTGTCTGTTATGCTGGCCAGTTGAAAGCAGAGGTCCAGAAGGTTTGCCGACCTTGTTGATCCTTCTGTTTATGTAGAACGCCACTGTGGAGTTGTCTGCATGTACCGTCAGATGAGCATTCTTCAAAATGCTGGTCCAGTGGAGTATGGCGTTTATCACTGCTTTCATTTCCAGCATGTTGATGTGCAGATCTTTCTCTTCTATGGGCCATATCCCAGCTGACACTTCGTTGTCGAGGTGTGCTCCCCAACCTTGGAGAGATGCGTCCACATAGAGATGCGTCTTGCACTCCGGCTCTGCTAAATAGGTGCTTCTGTGACCATTCGATCTCCGAGTCCACCATATTACATATGGTTGTAGGCTGTCCGGGAGTCCGAAGGGGTCCGGATCGTCCAGTTGTACATTCACGAAGACCTGTAGTGGGCGTAGTTGTAGACTCCCTCTGCGTGTCCTGTCCTGTGCTGATTCCGTAAGGGAAATGAAGCGATGTCCGACTCTGTGACTGCCATCGTTGTGAAGTCTATATAAAGTAGTCTGGCTGCCATCACCCAAAGTCCGTCCAACGTATGTTGCTGCAATTCGTCTGATGAATCGTCTTCAATGTTGACAGGGAAGGTCTTTAACCCCCGTGAAGGAAGCCAAATCACGTAGGTCCCATCTAACTGGACTGTAATTGAGGCCTTCCTCTCTCGTTGACAGGTTGTTGTCACTTGTAACCCATTTCCTGACATGTGAACGACGTTCGACCTCTGCGCAGGGCGTTGTCTCTCATGGTCCAATCAAAATAAAGCATTTTGATTCCTTTGGCTTCCCGCGATGTGACGTCACCGGTGTAGCAGGAAAAGGGCCCTTGTAGAATCTAGTGCCGCCGTTGATATCTTGTCACCACTCGGTCTTGTCCGTAGCCTTCCGGAGTTACACGAGTGACCATGTGTATCGAGGGTTGAATGGTAAACGCGCGAAATATTTCGCCACGTAATACCGATGTAGGTAGGCTGTATTCCTGGCTGCTGTGACTGTTACTTCAGTCCTGAAGATAATGCAGACGTCCTTTTATACAGATGATCAGGTGAAATCGTCACGTCCTCAGTGCTGCTATTGTAGACTGCATACATCGATCTCAATGAAGCGTCGTAATTGTAGAGTTGATGTTGAACTTTGTTGTAAATTTTACCCAGGGAGTCGTTGATGATTTTGTAGTTTCCTAGCCTTAGCAAGGCTGCTGCTGAACCACGCCAGTGTGAATATCTGCAGATCTGTATGGAAGTGAAGATCTCTAGATGGCCATGAGTCTTCTGATGTAGATATATCAATCTATGTGAATCCCGTCCTGGATTCAGTCTGAAGGTCCGTGCCCGGTGATGAATTCGGACAAGAGTACCCCTCTTGAACTTCATTACATGTCCCTCAGTCTTTGTGCCGGCGAAGATCTTTCCCTTGTAGGGTGACGCTAAGTCCAGTCCGCCATCGTGTCCTGGTTGAACATCCTTGGAGATCTGCGTAGCGATCTGCGTGGCGGTCTGCTTGGTGCGTCTGTATGGCGCCCTGTGTGTAGGTGATCGTCTTGTAGTCCGGGATTGCCTTCCTGGCAATGTATTCCTAAGTGGGGATTCACGTGATGATCTGCGAGGCGTTGTTGATGCCCTTGATGTAGGTAGTCGGCGTGAAGGTCCTTTATTAGGCTCATCATCTGTTGACGGTTTCTGAAGATTGCGCCGTCCTGCGCGCAGGTTGCTGATGGCATGTAGCGTTCTGTTGAGAGTCTAAGTACTGCGACGTCTCTGCGTTGTTGATGGCCTGCGCAAATGCCTTCTTGAAGACCTGCGTGGAGGGCTGCGTGGAGACCTGCATGGAGACCTCCGCGTGGAAACCTGCGTGAAGACCTTAGGGGTGTGAGGCTTCATTCTGCGTAGAGGATGGCTTCTTCTTCTTCATCTGCGTTGAGGGGTTGTCCGATGTAGAAACCATCTTCTTCGAAGTAAAGGCGGACAACATCCCACGCCCATCCTCCGAGGACACCTCCGGCAGGTCACTGGATGGAAGTAAGTCGTCTGACAGCAGTAGACAGCTTGTGAGAGACTCAGCCGGTTTAACCATGACTTGTAAAGTCGCCTGGATTGTCGCTAGTAAGTCTAAGTACAGAGAAAAATTATTTATTAATTTGAATTTCTGTTAAATGCTGATAAAGATTACATCGATAGCTAGAAGTACATGTTGTTGTGCAGCTAGGGCACGATCAATGCGGGTTTGCAGCAGCGAACCTAAACCTACATTTACAACGAAAACAGGTTTTCATGAAATGTAAACAACTGAACAATCACGTACAAAAACTGTGAATAAACAATGAAATACGAATAAATTTCAAACCATATTGTTGAAGGATACTCCCTAAACCCCTATAAAGGTAATTAATAGGGTAATAACTAAATAATCAAAGGATATAGTGCCGTATTTGAGACACAGGTGCTCTCCCAACCGTCCACTAGGGCGAAGAAGGAGAGAGTGAAGCATGTGGGAGCGGTGGCGCCACTTTTCCCGTCAAAACGGCCAGACAGATAACTCATGGTGAGTGGTGATTTTACGTCTGTTTTTATTGAAGGGAGCTTCAATAGGAGATACAAGTGTTCCACTAACGTTCGCAAGAGGAAGGAGACAAGCAATAAGCATGAGTCAGGATAAGGAAAAATATATGTTATCATGTAGCTAAAAACTTTAACGAGAATAAAGATGCAGCCCATCATATGTTAACTAAACAAACAAAGGACAAGTCACTAAAACAATGTTAATCCATTGTGATCAATGGGTTGACGCTCGTTTGAAAAAATGGTCTTGATTCCTTTACTCATTGTGGCTTTCACTGCGATTCATGGCACTGAGGTTTGCACTTGAAATGTGGCTTTAGTGGCAATTGGTAATTTTCAAATGTGGCTTTCCCGGGCAGACACCAGCAATTCCTAGGAGAAGTCCCATTCATTGTCCCATGAGCTGACAATGAGCTGACAATGAGCTTAACCTGTTTAACCATGTTCACTGTCCCAGGATCATCTAAACATTCTTTCATGCATTTATTTATTTTAATATGACAATGATAACTATAGCAATAATGGGCTGATGATATAGGGAAAATATATTCCAGTGGGCCAAACGTACAACATCCAGGTGGGCTACACCCCAAAGCTGGTTCTTTTAGGTACATATATTTCACACTGCAAACAACAACAAAAAGTCATCGAGAGAGAGAGAAGGAAGAAGAAAATGAAAAAATATCCTCAAATAGCTAAAGACAGCCCTTGTTGACTGGTTTGATAGCTGTTTTCAAGTTGTGCTCCGAACATGAAATGATTACAGATGAATGGGTGGATGGACAGACAAGGAATTTACTCCTGTACATCCCCCTGAATAACACGGCAGGGAGATAATAATAACAACAATCTTGGCTAATTTAACCATAATTAACAAGATTCAGACTACCCTATATCTGGCAGTTCATCTAGTAAGGCCATGAATGTACCACATGTCACATTTTGTTTCTAGCTCACCTGCTGAAGCCAAGTTCTTTTTTGTAACACCAGAGTACAGATGGCCTTGCTTTCACCACCGCTTTTGATAGCATATGATGCAGTATCACCACCTGTGTAAAAATGGAACAAAGCTGATCACATCCCAGTGTATGCAAAAACACTTTTCACACAGTTAGACATTTGAGCAACTAAACAACACTGCCATGAGGCCAAACCATAAAATGAATTTAAGGACTTATCCCCTTATCTCAAGTTGAAAAACAGGTTGAAAATAGTTTCAATGTAATTCTGTACTTCTGTAATCTTACACACAAAGTTAAAATTTATTCACCAAATTAGAATAGAATAGAATAGAATAGAATAATACTTTAATGCCTTTACAGGAATTTGTGTTACATCAGCAGAGCTACTGACACATTAGAGAGATACCAAACATATTTACATAAATTCTTTGATTTCTTCACATTTGTTTAAGAGAGATATGGTACTTCGAATAAAGGATTACGGGCTCTCTTAGTTTTCACAATTGGAACTTTATATCGGCGGCCTGAAGGGAGGAGGTTGTATTCCGAATTAAAGTAGTGAGTACGGTCAGATATGATTTTGACAGCTTGATTCACGATTTGCCGCTCATATATTGATGATAAACATTCAAATCTGACACCAGCAATTTTACTTGCAGTGTTAACAATTTTGTCTATTTTAGATTTGAGATGAACTGAGAGAGACCCGTACCAACAATGGAAGGAAAATGTTAAAATACTCTGAATATATGATACATATAAAGATGACATCACAGATGGGTTAACATTAAAAGATCTCAGTTTACGCATAAAATGAAGACGTTGTTGACACTTTTTGTATAGGGCCTCAGTGTTAGAGTTCCAGTTCAGCTTAGAGTCAATGAAGGTTCCCAGATACTTATACTCCGACACTGTCTCAACACATTCACCGTTGATTATCACTGGAAGCATTTCTGTGGGTTTACTCCGAAAGTCAATTATCAGTTCCTTTGTTTTTGTGACATTTAAGAGTAAGTGGTTTTCTGCACACCAAGTCGTAAAATGTCCTCTTTATACAGTTCTTCAGAATCAGTGTCGTTCAGTTTGCCGACAATTGCTGCATCATCTGCGAACTTTACAGTTGAACAGGTTGAATTCGAGCTTGCACAATCATTAGTGTAGAGGGTGAAAAGAACAGGAGATATTACACAGCCTTGTGGTGCACCAGTGTTGGTGGTCCGTTTACTCGATACAGCGCCGCTAACTTTCATGTACTGCTGTCTGTCCACAAGAAAGTTTTTGATCCACTTGATGAGGTATGAGTTAACGCCCATGTCTAACAGTTTCTGTATCATGATATGTGGCTGGATAGTGTTGAACGCAGATGAAAAGTCAACGAAGAGGATCCTGATGTATGATTTAGGTGTCTCTAGATGTTTATAGACATTATTCAGGAGTGACAGTGTGGCATCAACAACTCCTCTCCTTGACCTGTAGGCGAACTGAAGCGGGTCCAGTATGTCGGCAACTTCCTGACGGAGATGTCTCAACAAGATGCGTTCCAGCGACTTCAATGCTATAGATGTGAGAGCAACTGGCCTGTAGTCGTTGAGTTCTTTAGGATGTGTCTTTTTAGGAACTGGTACAATTTCTGATGTTTTGAAGGAATAACGTGTGTATTCACTGAGAATTGAAACAATCTAGTGAAAACTGTACACAGTTGAAGTCTGCACACCTTCAACACAATGCCGTTCAAGGTTGTCAGGCCCTTTTGCTGCATTTCTGATGTTAATTCTGGAGAAGCTTTGAATGACGTCAGCTTCTGATATATGGATACGACTTTCACTATCCTGTACGGCTTCACTAACTTGGGCTCTCTCATCGGTAAAGTCGTGACAATCAAAGCGGCTGTAGAAAGTGTTGAGGTCCTCAGCAAAGGTTTTATTATCCCTGGCGTTGGTTGTTTGTCGTCGCCTGCTCTTGCCAGGCTTGTTGCAGATTGCTTTGCTGAAACTGTCTCTCAACTTTCTCTTTGTACGCTAGTTTACACTCACGAGCTTTAAGATTGATGTCCTTCCTGTATGCACTTGAGTTTTATTCTCTTTCTTCATGTATGCTCGTTTCTTTTCGTTTAATAAAGATTTCATTTCTTTTGTGATCCAGGACTTGTGTTTGGGAAAATTCTAATTTCTTTTTCTGGTATTATGTTGTTGACACAAAAATCAGATAATATATCAATCAGGCTACCAATAAATAGGCTTCACTAGGTTGTCCGTCATGCAGACCCTGAAACAAATATACCCAATACAGCTCATGCGAGTCTAGAACATGTAGCCAGTCTAGATTACCAGTCCATAGACATGATAGAGAGTGAAAGTTTGATGATACAAGCACAATTGGTCTGAGCTCACAAAGGTCATGCATCATAGGTCGGACAGGCTGTTTCTAATATTCAATCCAATCAACTGACTCTTAAAATGTAATAACACATTGTCGCTGTTCTTGATATGCTTGGTTTCAAGATATCTTCAACTCTTCTGAAAATGAAGACCAACTCATCAATCACACAGTTAGGACTTCTATGCTTTTGGGCACAGTGTACTGGTAGTTCCCAAATACAGTTTAAATGTTGCAATGGCAACACAAAAGCAAGGGTTTCTTTCTCAGTGATAGAGAAATAGTGCTTGTGCCTTCTGCTTTAGTACCTGACCTTACCCTTAGAACAGAACATTTGCCTGTGTAAATTCATGAAAATTGTGATGGTCTTTTAAAGATGGCACAGATGCTCCCCAAAATGATCATTCCACTCCACTAAACATGCTGGATGACTGACAGTTTGGTTAGTTCAACTATCAATGGATAGTGAATTTGGTAGGAGTTATTAGTGAGTGAGTTTGATTTTACTCCGCTTTTAGCAATATTTGTATGAATTATTACTTACTGAAAGTTATGTCTAACAGGTGAGACCTTAGGGTAGGATTTATCTTGAACATCTGAGAAATTGTGCAGTCATAACTTACACCTTTTTCAATAGTATGTCTGTGAGATAGTGTTGGGAATTGGAAGCCAAATCCACTAACGATTATCGGAGGACATGTGGTGAACCATTATCGATTATAATCGAAATACAGTGGAAACCTGATAAGTAAAATGTCAAGGGACTCGCCAAAAATTGTTTACTTATCAGGTATTTTACTTATCCAAACTTATAAAAACCTGCAAATGACAACCATATGCATGTACTAGTATATGTATGCATATGTAACAATGAACAACTTATCAGGGATGGCCTCCAGTTGTCAGTGTATTGTCAACTGCTTGACGCCAGCGAGCTGTAAACAGGATGTTTGTTTGACTGGAGACTGACACGACTGCCCCTCATGTCGGATTATGTGGTGAACGCTAATTTAGTTATCCAGTCTCTTTTGTTAAGTAATTTACTTTCAGGGACCGTGAGAAGACGTTTAGTTAAGCTGTATTGTTTACTTATCCGAGTTTAGTTAACCGGACTCTAATAGTGATAATTAATGAAGAAAGTTGCCGGGACCAAAGAAAAGTGTTTACTTATCCGGTATGTTTAGTTAAGCGGTCTTTACTTAGGCGGTTTCCACTGTATACATTTTTATGTAATCACCAATGTTAATGGTTTTCCACTTAGTTTCTTTCCTAATTATTGTTTTTATAACTACTAATGTCATTCAATGAAATGCACGCGTGCAAGAAAGACACTGGAATTGTAAATGAACAATGTGGTTAATATTACAATCTTCATCAGTATATCTCATTACATTCACAATAGATGTATTCATAGACAGGTTACAGTAATATTTACCATAGTGTTATGAAAACAACGTGCATAGCTTTACGCTGTTGATGGCATGTTTGTTCGTGGATATTCATCAAATGTAATGGTTAGTATACTTCATTCAAGTGTTATACTAAAACAACAAAAATTCTGATTAATCACAAATATTTTTTTTACAATTGATAATTATTTCTAATCCTTCTTTCGATCGATTTTCGAATATTTTCGATCATCGGCACATCACTACTGTAAGATGAGTTTTACTACTTTTGACTGGAGTCTTTCTCTAAGCTAATACTGATACATGATGAAATTAATATTCTATATTTACATTTTCCTAATATCTGAATCCTAATATATTGCTTGTAGTGGTAACAATGAATAATGAATTTTGTATGAATTATTATTCCATAAAAAACAACTCTCATTACTTTGGAGTCCTGAAGTCTCAATTTTCATAATGCACTAAGGTGGCTGGGCAAATCCAAATGGCATAACCCTGTACTGATAAAGTCCTCAGAGGGTAATCACGTACACATAATGTATTTGCATGCTCAGTTTTAAAGGATCTGGTACCACCCAAAGGTCAAACTTGCTCATTTACAAACTTAGCCTGAAAGGGAAGTATACACTAAAACTTCACACTCTACTTGGATGAAATGAACATATTTTGGTGACAAAATGTCAAAATCATACGTAATTTGATAGTAAGATGTATGAGGAATTTAGAGATGCATGTATTGAAGCTGTTTGAAATATAAGTAATATAATAAGCATGTCATAACCAACATACATGAACAATTATTACATCTTTTACCACTTGTGTAAAGGTTAAAAATATTGTGTACTACAATTCCATCTTTTACCACTTGTGTAAAGGTTAAAAATATTCTTTTGTGGATATGGTCCAAACAAACAAAAAAATTTAAAGGATACAATTTACAAAAAAACAATGTATTGTCTATATCCATGTTGATATTGAACAAGGCTAAATGTATGTAAAAAAAACATAGTTGTGTTAAAAGATAGCTGAACAAAACGCAAATTATACATTAAAATACTCAAAGTGAAAGCAGTGTGAAAGGCTAATTGTGTTTACTCCTATTCAACCGACCTTCACCTAAAAGAATTAGTTAACTAGAAAGCGTTTTTACTTTCCCCCAATTCAACGTTGAGACCTCAACAATTCATTTGATTCCTTCAATTTCAGAATCACTAAGTATGAAAATACATATTATTGATATGAAATACACAATGCCATTTAGATGAGGTGAGGTGAAATTGGGTTTTACGTCGAGCTTGAGAATATTTCGCTCATATGACGACGTGCAGGCGTGTGTATGTGTATGTGCGGCTGCTTGTACTAGCCCAGACTTAAGCTGGTTTTATAGTGCTAGACCACTGAGATACCATGCCGCAGTGAAGCATGAATACCCCACTCAGACACACTATACTGACTCTGAGCCGACCAGTCCTTGTTGTACCCAGTAATGCCGAGCGCCAGGCAGGGACAAACAAGTACCATATTTTAACGTCTTTTGGTATGACGCGGTCAGGGATCGAACCAGCGACCTTCCGCTCTCCGGGCGGATGCTCTAACCACTACACCACGGAGGCGGTCCAATGCCATTTAGAAAGTGGTCAAATGTAACATATGTTATATTTGGGATTACACTTTCTTTGTAAAGTACAGATTCTATAGTACTGTCGGAAATTGAAAAAAACTGTTTTTAGGCTGTTACTCTGTATCCCTAAAATTTACACAATTGCAAATAGCATATGTCGAAATAACCAACTTAGAAAAAACTGGGCGTTCAGTGGGATGCGTAATACGATATCCAGAAAAGCATGTTTACTCGAAAAATCAGACAAAACTTAGAAAAAACTGAATGGCTGCTGAAAACAATAGATCAGACTATAGAAGGCAATTAGGTCGCTCAGCCAGGTATGACGGACCGTCGACTCACCTGGCATGAAATGCATGTGCTGCCTACAGGCACAAGGGGTCATCTCAAAGATATTTTGAGCTCTTTCATGTGTGTTGACTATGTCTCATCTATTGATTAACATCTAACGTGTCTTTCTTTCATATAGTTTATGTTGAGATATGTAAAAGAGTATGATACCCGAAAAACATAGAAACGCATCGTAGTATATAGGTGGCATGACCACCCGAAGATCGACAGGACTGGATATTATTTGTAAATTGTTATGACATGCCGTGTACCTCTCCAGTATAATTGCCCTGAAGGATTATCTTATCTTAACTGATATCTCTGTCCCCAAGCCCGACCCCAGGTTTTGCTTTTGAGACGATCCCTCCTATCTGTTTCTTTTTATAGTGACAGTGAGACTGCATGGTAGCTACATCCTTAATACTTTCGGCATAAAAGTTATCATTTTTTATGTCAGCTATCGTTTATAATGAATCTACGTCTAATTTCAAATTGGGCATTTTAAAAGTGTCCTTTGTAATACAATATCGTCGCACACTAATTTTCATAAAGCCATGGTCTGTTCCAAATAAGTCTTTTTGGACTTAGAAAAAAAAAACATCGCTCATTTCTGCACTAATTTACCCTCAGTAGAGTCCCTTTTCTCCATTTCCTATCTCTCTACCACTGAGACTGTAGTTAGGCTGAAACTTAGATTAACAGATATTTCACACATCAACTACATAAATTGTAGAGATAAATGAGAAAATACAGGTTTTTTTCTTTTTCCGACAGTACTTTAGTCCTTTTGTTGGGTTGAGTCCCATCCAGGATTCCAACCCACACCCTCAGAGTCAGGCACCTAATCGCCAGCACACAAAGTCGGACTCCTAGACCGCTCAGCCACCGTGGACAACTGGTAGTCTAGACCGCAGACTTTGTGTACCCCTCTGATAAGTGTTAATTGGCACGGCTCCCACGAGCGAAAGCTATGAAATACACAATGCCATTTAGAAAGTGGTCAAATATAACATACAGTAGAACACGGATATAACGAACTCCAAGGGACCAAGAAATTTAGTTCGCTATATCCGGTGTTCGTTATTCACATCTGACCGCCATCTTGGATTGTAGAGATGTAGAGACACGTATATGCTGAGGCTACAAATCTTTATTCTTGTACATGTATATTGACATAACATTAAAATTCTGAATTGATCATTCACAGACATTAGCTAGAACATGTTTAACAATCTCAACAATATGTTGATTCGCCGCCAACAAGGTTGATGTATACCGCTAAGTGGCTGAGCTGACACTGAGCTGACACTGAGTGAGTTCGCTAATCACGCCGTAATTGGGCTTGGGGGTAGTAAATCAGTTCGCTATAGCCGTTAATTCGCTACTCACGAGTTCGTTATTCGCGTATAATTCTAATGATATCATAAAGGATTGTTGACGGGACTTTTAAATTTGTTCGCTATATCCGTTTGTACGCTATATCCGTGTTCGCTATATCCCTGTTCTACTGTATGTTATATTTGGGATAAGGTGCCTGACTCTGAGGGTGTGGGTTCAAATCCCGGATGGGACTCAACCCAACAAAAGTACTAGAATCTGTACTTTACAAAGAAAGTGTAATCCCAAATATAACCGAATGAAAGCTGCTATATAACGCAACTGATTTGATTGAGTTAACTCAATGTCATGTGCTAATTCTTCCGTTTCCGTAAAATCACTAATCTGCCTTTTGAACTCACCCGACATTAGCGGAAAGGTGCGAGCCGCGCTGGTTTGTTAATTGGATCAGTTAGCAACACCAATTAACTTCTCATTGACTGACTTCGGCTTATGTATACAAGATTACTATTGTTTGAATCTCACAGGACCACATTTCCATTTCGATTCATCGTGTGTATTTATGAGACGAATTCGTGTAACCGGAAATCAAATGATGACAACAATAGCAGGGAATGGTCGGGACCGACAGGTACTTCGTGTTATGCATAATATTCGAGACACCGGCATTCGACTCATCGGAATTTGACTGTATTTCGATTGTAATCAATAATTGTTCACCACAATCCTCCGATAATAGATAGTGGATTTGGTTTCTGATTCCCAACACTAGTTTGCTGACATCGGTATGCAGTTTTGCGAGGGACCTTTCCTCATCCGGTGAAGGAGCAAGCATACACTCTGAAACGTCGTGTCATTCACAATATAGAAGTTGACATCCATGAATCTTGCTTTTCTTATATATTCCACTCCTAAATGCCCTTCAAAGATTGATCAGATATGCATTTTATATCATGTGGTCACCATGTTTTAAGGAGGACAAAAACAAAGTCACACAGTCCCATCCATCTATAAATTATTTTTGTAATGTTTCCACCTAAACCTACAACAACACAATAATCCTTGAGTTTACTGAAAACACTGTCACTATCTACATGATATATATCTAAGGGTTTTCATTGTAAACCATATCGGTACAGATCTGTCTTGCAAATCACCATCAAAGACAGGTGATAGTCATATGTTAAACTACAAAACTAGAACCATGTGGTTACTTCTTTACCAATCAAAGTCAATAAAGCTTGTGATATATCCTCATCATTATCGTGGGTAAAATATAAATTATATTATCTACACCTTTTCATCAGTGTCCTGTCCAGTCCAAATATTTAAAAAGCAAATCCACAGATATTTTACTCCAATCCCACAAATCACACACACACTATTTAATGCTAGTCAAACAGGGGCGTAGCTACCGTTATTGAAAAAGCCCGGACTTACACATGACTGTTGCTAAAAAGGTTGGACAAGCCATTTACTATCTAAATGTAAAGCTTTGCAACCTATCTGGCTTACACAAAAAAATTGGCATGCCATGCACCTGTCAAAAGGATGAAAATGGATTATAATCTGTTGAACAAATTGGGTTGTCATCATTCATGTGAACAAGTGTATGAAATTTTGACTTTATTGATTATTGGTTTCTAAGGAAATGTTTACTACAGATGAAAGAGACACATGACTTCTACCAGGCCTTGACTCATCAACAACAAAATGTACATATAATGTGATAATCACCTGATCTCGGCCATGATCACCAACAATGACAAACATTGATCTGTGTTTGTTGGCAACTCCATTTTCTACTAACACTCGGATTCGATTGTCTATCTTTTTCCTGACCATCTTGAACTGTTGTAAAAGAGAAAAAGGCATATTCAAATTCAACTTGACTATAACAAACAACATTGTTTTCGCTGTCAAAATAGTAAGACCTCGAAAACACACAAGGTACAGTGACACTTCAAACGGTTCCCTCCATAAAATGTATCCATCAATACAAAATGGTGCTTTGCTTATGTGTATTGCACTCTTAAATAAACACTGCTAAAGAAATCCTGATATTTTCACACGCATACAGTGTGTCACAGCTGATTTGTATTGCAAAACACAGCATTTCAAATGCAGATGTTACTTGCTGGGTTTTGAGATATATATGTCACAATAGTCTCTACTGGTGGAATCTCTGATCCTACTAGTAGAGATTGCAATTAGATATTCTTTCAAATCTAACCATGTTAACTGGTAGAAACTCTGATTGATCTGTGGGCAAACAACAAAGACACTTTATTTGCTGAACAATAATATGATTTTCTTCAGGCATAACACTAGACTGTTTCCAGTTCAACAGATACATTTGGGGCTAAAATATAATGCGACTTGGGATCATATTACAATATTTACACATCTTACAAAACAGATCTGCCATTTCCCTACCCAAGAATATTACTGCCTGGTGATATCCCCACCTCTTACTTACCTCAAGCAAAATCTTATTTTAGAATGACTATTGTACTCACTTGTTAATCACTTGTATTCCTTGATGGAGAGGGGGAAGAGAAATCTTAGGACGCAGCTTTCCAGCCTATTTGCTGATGACAAACTTATATAAATGGGGATCCAATGAAAAATGAAAACAATTAGCTAAATATTTTGTCAAGTCTGTTATGAGTTCAGGTTGAATCACACGCGAGAAACAACACGAATGAAGTCACAACACATGCACGTGGGTTCTTAAACTCCTCACAGCGAAAGCCCGTTTGTGGAGCTCTTCACACCAATGTCGTGATCTTCAGTCGCATTCGCCACACGCTCGTGTTATTCCGGACCCACTCGTGTTATCCCGGATTCACTCGTGAACTACTTCAACAAGAACGACAACTCCATTTTAGTTTCATTCGAACAGTAATAAAAGAAGCACAAAAAAGTTGTTTATGAAATCAGATGTCATGATGTTTTAAACAGCAGATATGGTGTCTTTGATCGGCATTTAGAAATAATACATATAAAGGCGAGAGTTTATGGATATCAACCTTGAATATTTTGAGAAACAGGACGTTTCGGAGTATGTATATCCCTACTCCTTCATCATCATAACTCCCGATGAAGGAGTAAGAATATATAGCCTACACCGAAAAGTTGACAAACATCAATTCTCGTCTTTAATAGAAATGGTGATAATTATTTGTTGAAAACGTATGCTCACGAAACTTTTATCAGGTGTTCCCGTTCTATTTCCGAATTTATATTTCCAAATACGGTTAAACACTCGCAAATGGGATTTTATTTACGAAGAGGCAATTAAAATAATATTAACATTACATTTCTGCTGTCATATGTCCCAACATTGATACACAGCATTCGCATTGTACAAGCCAAATTAACTTGAATGTCGGAAAGCGCCCGTAACATCACGAAAGCATGCCCGCAAGAAACAAATGCAGGTGTATATTTGAATCTCTTATTGTTCATGGCCGTGCACTTATTAAAAACTTCAAATCGGGTAACACAATTATGTTACCAATGTTCTGTATAATGTCGAAATGACTACAAATATATTTCACGATTTGTAAAGAATCATCAAATGTCTTGGGATTATATTTTATCAAAATACCTCAATCCTTACGCGTCCTGATTGGTTTGTCGTTTTTCAGAACATAACATTCATCGAGAGAGGGACGTATGGCAAACCATTTTCACATTCATGAAGAAATATTGATACCTTAAATTGTTATATCTTGAATGAAATAAAGATATCTTGAATCGAATTGAATTAGAGATTCTCGAAGAGAGATAATTATAGGTATCTGCAATAAAATGCATGATAGCGCAAAATGAATAAAGGATATGATGAAGCATATCCATTATATCTTGAAAAGAATTTTTTGATATCTTAAAATGGATGAATGATATGTATGGTAAACCGTTTACACATTTATTAGGAAATTAAAGATAAATTCCATTGTTTTAAAGATACCTGTGTTCTATTTAAGATATCAATAATGTTTTTAATTATATTGGTAAATAATTAAGGGTATATTTAAGTAATTTCTGAAGCGGGTATATCGATGTCATAATCGAGATTTGGTGCCGTGGTGGACGTTGAAGTGTCTTGCAACGGCGGACTGGGACTCCCCTGGCAATCATTTTCAATCAGTAGCATTCAATATCTTGGCATTTTTATCTTCGTTTCTTCGTTTCTTTCTTCTTTTTTTTCTTTTGAAGAGTGTATGTATTTAAAGTAAATATTTCGTGGTATCTCTAAATGTGTTTAAGATATCAACAACAATTACGATCATAGTGAACATTATTGAATTAGAAATTTCTTTAGGATATGAACTTATATTGAAATGATTTATACACATCCACAAACGCATTACGAGATATCGTCAGCTGAATTTGATATGTTCAATTCTAACCATTACTGATATCTAGTTCTCATTAATAATTCGGGATATATCTGTAATTCAGTTACTGATTTCTGTGATACAAGTAAGAGGAAACAATGGCAAAATTATCTCTAATTCATTTCACGATATATCCAATTCAAATTAAAATATTTTCAATTCAATTCATGATATCTCTTTTCAATTTAATATCGTAATGGCAAGCCGTTTTCACATGAATTAGGAAATACAAATATCTTGAACTGAAAATTCAAAATTACTACTCACAATTTTAGTAGTATAGACAATGAGGGAACGACCGCAACTGGCCATTATTAAAACCATTATTATTATTTCACCCCAATTCTGTCCCTTAGGACCCTCCAAAACAGGTCAAATTTGGCACCATGTGATGCCATCCACATACGTTTGTGCAGGAACGTCCATCGGTAGAAAAAATGGGCGTCTCCTACTAAATATATAGATCATTTATGCCATCCACATATCAATGAAGCAATTTATTGTTAATCTCCTATTAGTTCTTTGATTTTGATACTGAGTAATTGAATGGCTTGTGATCGCCTCTGTCCCCTATGCTCCTCATCACATTTTGTTCGAATCTCTTACGTCATTTCGTTGTACACTCTTTAAAATAATAAACGCATGGGTGATTTTAGAATATTGGACTCATGTAGCTGCGGCAAAAACAACACAAATATATAGACAACCAAACAGTATGGGAACACTCTACAATTTGATGGTCATATATAAACTTAAACATGGTGAGATCATTTATACTCTAAGGTAAATGCAACCTTTTCACCCCAATTCTGAGTGCATGGGATTTAGTTGCATGGGATGTCTGTCTTTCACATGCACTAGGCTGTTGTGTTAGGGCGTTTGAATGAAACATGGTGCCGGTGTGTTTCAGCACCCTTGTTTTTCGCTGTTTTTGACATTGTTTCATTTCACTCAAACTCAACGAATATTGAATCAGTTTCTTCACTATAAAAAAAGGAAACGTTGTGTATAATTTTGTCATTATTTTGTTTTTTTTATTTTGTTTTTTTTTTAAAAAAGAGGAAATCATCACGAAAGCAGCCGATCTAAAGATCGCCATAGACCGCATTGAAGCTGGTGAGTCACAGTCTGTAGTTGCCCGACATTTCTACGTTCATTACAGGACGATGTCTCGCCTTCGTTTCCTGCAAATCAATTCCGTCCAAAATCGCCCGAGAAGCGTCCGTCCCAGAGTTACCACAGGACCGCTACATCGGGGTAGTAACATATGTTGTTATATTTGGGATTACACTTTCTCAGTAAAGTCCATATTCTAGTAGCTTTAGTGTTGAGTCCATTCCCCAAAACAACTAGAATATGTACTTTACTGAGAAAGTGTAATCCCAAAAATAACATATACTATCCAGAAAAAAGAAACGCATAGGCAAGAAATCTGTTGCGAAAATGTTGTATTTTCAAACATGTATAACTTGTCCACAATTAGACTTAAGTGCATGAATTTGTACATCAGTTTAAATGTCTATACAACCAAGTGGTTAATTTTAGATAACGGAGCCGTTGGGCGTGATGACAAAAGTATTCGCGACATTTTAAAATGGCGTAAGTAAACACAAGACCGTATGAAAACTTTAAACAGCGATATTTCAAAAAAAGAATTACGCCATACTTCAGTACTTGGTCAAGTTCCCCTTGGAGCGTATGCAGTCCATAATCCGTCGTGGAATTGATTCATATAAGTTTCTAATATAGTGTAGAGTGACATTTGTCCAGACATCGTGGATGGCGTCATACAGTTCGTCAGTGGTCAGGATAGTTTGTGATCGTCGCTGTAGTGTTCTTTTGATGTGTAGCCATACATTTTCAGTAATATTGAGATCGGGAGACTGTGCAGGCCAAGTCATGCAATTTACAGCATTGTCACGCTTGTATTCCTGAATAATTCGTGCCCGATGCACTGGGGCATTGTCATCTTGAAACCGATATGGTTTGTTGTTGAAGTGCCGAGCTATGACGGGCCAGAGGTTGTCTTCAACTATTTCACGATACGATTGTTCTACTGTTTACTTGCTGATGTTGACCAGCATTATAATCATGGGTAACGTCTCTTAGAATGTTAAATCTTTTCTTGCGGACACTCTTCAACAAAACATATTCACAATGAATACTCACTTTTCTTGGCCAACCACTTCGTCGGCTGTTTTCAACATTATCACGATTCAAATATTTTTGCCAAACATACCGAATTGTTGATTCAGGTACACCTAATAATTTCACAATGTCAGAAGTTTTCTTTCCATTCCGTTTCAAATCCACAATTATTTCTTTCGTACTGATGTTGAGTTCCTTTGATTTTCGGCCCATTGTTTACAGCAGACGATTTCTGCGATGATATATGACGTCATTGCACATGCACACTTAATCGTATATATATCAAGCTCA